AATATGATAAGAAAGATAATATTAGAAAAGTATAGTCAATGAAATCTTATTTTTATCAATCAAAGTGTTTTATATTGTGAGATACTAAATCTTTTTAAAAGTATCTTATAAATTAATACAAAGAGAGTATCCAGATTATTTTAAGAACTCAACTAAATGAATTGTCAACCAAACTGGCTAACAATTCAATTTAGATCAAAAATTTTATTTTATGGTTGAATCGAATTGAATAGAAGTTGAGTTACTATTCAATTATTAATGTCATTTCATATCTATTTTTTAACTCTTAATACGTTATGGGAAATAATTTATAGTGTCAGGAGATCCCACCCCTTGTGTTTATAAAAATGAAATACAGTAAATTTATTTAATTTATTATATTTAAATTATATTTATTTATTTAATTACATTACTTGTTTGACTATTAGCCTATCCATAAAAATGCCTTTCCAATTTACATTCGATTTGGTTTTTAAAACACTAATTCAAACTAGATTTTGAAAAATAAGCCACAATATTTATAAATATCATATCTTCTTATAAATTACACAGACAAATTAGGCTCCATGAATTTGAATAAAGTCCAAGATGGCTTTCTATACTTTCTATATAATTCTATATTGGTTGACTTCAGTTTTTCATTTGTCCCCTTCTTATAATTTTGTTTTACCCTTATTTGGATTAATCCAAACACTGAATTTATTTACTTATCTAATAAAAATTGATGCTCCCTCCCTTTCTTTCTAATTGTCACCAATTTCAAAAAATTTATGTATCTGTTTATTTTTCATTTTAAAATTTTAAAATAACATTAATTACTATTTTCTAAACATATACTATGTGTGCTTATTATATTAGTCTTTTATAGTAAGAGTAAAAAAGTATTATTAAAAATACTTTTAAAATATGGAACAAAAATTTTACTTTAGAAAGACCAATATAATAAAATCAAAGGAGTACTCCATCCATTAAAAAATATAAGACATTTTTTGAGAGATTAAATATTTAAAAATATAAGGTAGTTTTATATTTTAAGGTAAAATTATTATATTTTTTTCTAAAAGTGCGAATAACAAATAAATATTTTTATATTTATTTTATAGTTAAATATTATATTGAATAAAAGTAAATATCAAAATATAATATTAGTTTGAAGATAATTAAATACTTTATTTAAAGTTAAATTTAGTTAAAAATATTTTACATTTTTCAGATAAGAGAGTACTTATTTTTATTCAACTTCAGCTCTTTAGATATATTGTTCACTGATTTTGTTTGATGACTTCATTGAGCCTCCTTATGCCTTTAAAATATGAATTAATTGACATCAATTTAATTTGAATTTTTTAGATTAAAAAATAATAAAATATAATTTTTAATATTTCTCCTGTCAAAAAATTCAATACTAAAAAAAATAAAAACTTAAGCTGTATAAATTAAATTTAAATTATTTAAATTTTTCTTAATGATATTCTATTCATAACTATGAGAAATCCTTAGAGATAATTAAAAAAAAAAAAAAAGGCAGAGACTAGAGACCAAATCAATACAAGGTGCAAAGCAGGTCCCATCAACTTTGGCATTATCCCAAACTTTCGGGTAAATTCAAATTTCAAAAAAGTGTGACACTCAAGCTTTTGTTTTTTGGTGGAAAAGCTTTTTTTTTTTTAAATTCAACATAAGAATCAATTAATCATGTCATGTCACTTTTGCCGACAAAATTTTTTTCTCTCTCAAGTTTTTTTAATATATATATATATATATATATAGACATATATCATTTTCTTTCCATGCAAGCATTAATTTTTGTCGTTTTCCATGTTTTGTAACTACCTGCGGTTAATGCAACAAAACCAGACACTGATAGAAAATATTTTTTTAAAAAAAGTTTTCCTTGCAGGTTGCAGCTAAATTGATGCACCATGAATAATCTTAGATCCTACATCTTGATCCAATTGATAAAAATTTAACCAAATGATTCACTGATCATGGATTCAAATCTTTTGTTGATAAGATAATTTTGTCGATAACAAACTTATAAATATTTTTGTAAGTATGTTTAAATTTAAAAGCATGTCTTGTCTCAAGATCAAACTTACCTATATTTAACGGTATAAAAAAATAAATACCTTGATATTTTATTTAAATTCTCTTTTCTTTACCAGCTATTTAAACTATCTTTTTAATTCAAATCGTTTAAAAGTCAAAATTATTCTTATTTAAAATATAAGTATTGGTACAAAAAGGAATTTATTAGTATGTAATTTATATTATGTTTCTAAAATGTTATTTAATTCAAAAAAATTCTGGCTTGACATGATGACACTGGTCTCTTGTTAACCCAATACACATCTCATCTAAAATTTTTTGTACAAAACATTTACCTAAAATTTGGCACTTCTTCGAATTTTTTGACCATATCCAATTATTTTTTTAAGTTTAATAAAATAAGTAGGTAAGTCAATTTAATGCAAAACATTAAATTGAGCGATGTGTATGGTTTTTGTTTAAGGAAAGAAAGATATATTTTAAAATAACTTTATATAATTTTAATATAGTTTCTAGAATTTTTTGTGTATTTTAGGCTGCTTTTGTGGTGCCAGCAATTTGTACAAAATGGCAAAAAATTTGGGGGTGACTGGATGAGTCTCGAAACGTGTGGACCATCCCTATTTGGATTTAAATCTTCTAACATTAAGATTAAGATTCATGACTTTATAGGTATTTTTTTAGTATTTTTTTTTCTCATTTTAGTATTATTTATAAAATATAAAATATTTTTCTTTAAATAGGAAAAATCCATGAAATTCACGTGATATCAATTTCAGAGAATTTAAAATTTTAAATCCTCCACATTTAATATCATTTTATTTTACATATTTACAAAATATTTGAGGTCAAAAAGAGGTCTTTCATACATATATTTTACATTTACACAGATTTAAACTTAAAATCATAATTGAGCAGTCATAATTCATTCTTCGACCTACACCAATTAACAGTGGCAACAAGCCTCCCTTAATTGAGAAAAGTACATATGATGGGTATGAATTTTTAGATTTTCCACTTCTTTCCCTTTATGTTATGCATCCTTTCTTTTTAATATTTTGAATATTAAATTCACGTATTTCTTTCTCTAAACTCAAATTCAAAATTTTTAAAATTCCAGCTCAAAGCCTAGTAATATAAAAAATATATATAATTAATTTTTTAATTATTGCATTGCTTTTAAAATTAATACTTTTTTTAAGCAAATCCTCCTAATCCAAGATCTTGGCTCCCATTGCATGTTAGTTATAACTTTTTATTTTATTGAATATAAAATTTAAAATAAAGATAATATTTTAGCATAAGTTTTTCAAAACATAAATTTTTATTAAAAATTTTAGGAAAAATTAATCTTTTAATCCCTCAACTTTTAACTCATTTGTAACTCAATTCTTCAACTTTGACTCGGTGCGACTGAGTCCCTCAACTATAATTCGCTATGACTTAGTCCCTCAACTTTTGATTCACCTATAATTTAGTCCTTATGTTTTAATTTTTTTAAAAAATTTTCTTATCAAATAAAAAAGATAAAAAAATGCTCATATATTGTTTTAAAATATCCTCCTCTTGCTCATTAATGTGAGATCTAAGCTAACATAAAAAAAATTAACAAAAGTTGAGGGACTAAATTGTAAGTGATTCAAAAGTTGAGAGACTGAGCCATAGGCGAGTCATAGTTGAGCGACTGAGTCACAGTGAGTCATAGTTGAGGAATTGAGTTACAAGTAAATTAAAAGTTGGAAGATTAAAAGGTTAATTTTTCTAAAATTTTAAACTCACTCTTCAAATCTAATTTAAACGGCCCAAACAAAGAAAAGGGTCAATGCTCATCCCCGGAGATTGATAGCCTTACGTACTCATCCATCTTTGTGACCCAAAGGAACACGGAATACCAAATAGAAATTGGTACGAGACAAAGTAATTATGAATTTTTCGTCCTTTTTGTTTGGTTGTAGTTTATTATCAAATCTGTCTCATACATCGACTTGTTTGATTCTATTTTCTATTTTTATGCTTTTAAAACAATTCTATAGATTGGTTAAAGGATGAAAGAATTATTTATTTTGTTAACATAATTGTCATTGATGAAATGCTAAGATGTACTTTTGATTCTGTAATTTTATGAAATTTCAATTTGATTCATTAATTTTATAAAATATCATTTCAGTGATTCAATCTTCTAATTCTACTATTATTAGTTTTAAATGATTATTCTATGCTAATCATTGTTATTTAAGAAAATTAAACTTAATATACCAACATTTGAAAATATTTTGTCAATATTTAAAAATTTAATATAAATTTTTTTTTATGATGAAATTAGTTAAATGATTTAAAATATATTTTATGATCAAAATTAAACTTTATGTAAAGTTAAAAGACATTTTATAAAATTTAGGAACCAAAATTTTTTGTGATGAAATTAACTGTTTTAAAGTTAAATGATTAAAAAAACACTTTATAAAATTAAGGAATCTAAATAAAATTTTGTATAAAGTTAAAGGACTAAAGATGTAATAAAATATGTACTCTACCCTTCCTCTAATTTTGCAAAACAAGAAATAGCAAAATATTAAAAAAAAAAAAGAAAGATGTTCTTATCTTTTAATTTTTCAGAAATTTTTAACTTTTTTTTTTCCCAAAACAGATAATAAAAAACTCATTTCCAAACAAGTTCAATCATTTTTTTTTCCTTTTCAAAATAAAATATTGTTTTGAAAACAAGTAATCAAACATGCGTTTATTTTTGTTGTTTTCTTGGCAGCTGGTAGTCTCCAGAGTATTATGATCGACGCTGCCAAGATGTCATACAGGGCTTTTGGGTGGTCTAAACAATACAATAAATACAATAATCTTCAGCACGCTTGATTAAACCACACTTGAAGCTTTGACTAAACAAACAATTGAGTCACTTGAGCTTACCAAATAGATGCAGAGTGAAAGAAACAGAATGAACCTTAAACCATAGCTACTTTGATCAGCTTCATGACATATAAAGCAGTTGAATCCCAATAATTTTGGGAATATGATACAACTATACCATAGCTAAGTCAAATTGAGCATAAAATGCTAAATTTTCAACAGAATCAAGAACTGGAACCAGCAAATTCAATTTGCAGCAACTGAAAATGTTGAGTCCTGACATTGTCACTCAAACCTAAGTCAGCTATTTCTACATGCACAAACTCGGTGTCAACAACTATTCTACACTGCACTACACTGTCTTGATCAAGGAAAAGATAACAATTCTCATATAAACCTTCCTTTGGTGCAAGATTCATCAAGCAGGATTTAGGAGCAGAAAACTTGAAATTACCAACGCTAAATCCTTCTGGATCAGTGGCCATCAATACGACACGGTGTTGTCGACCTAGAAGCTCTGTGACATATCTCATATCACCTACAGCAAGAGCCTGCCGGACACGAGTAGACGACACTTGTCCTTTCTCTTTTGGGTTGTTGGTACTAAAAGTTGCAGAGTTTTGATTCTTGTCCATAACAGACTTTATTACGTAAGCTTCCATACCATATTCCTGACACAGCTTTACCAATTCTGATGCATCCCCAGCAGCTTTATACCCAAATCGGTAGTTCTCGCCTGCCACAAGCTCCATTAAAGGCGTTTATCTCAGTCTCACGAAGTAGATATGCAATATAACACTGCAAAAAAACTGCACCTTACCACAATAGGATAGATCGTGGTAATGTTATTTGAACAGACCCTAGATTTAGGTTTTAACTAGTACCTTCTCTTGTAAGTCCCACCTTGATTTCCTCATTACTTCTCTCAACAGACAAATCTTAAACTCCCTGCGAGTGAAATCTTGTGTGTGGACAGTGGTATTCAACAGAACATATACCACTGACGTGCTGCAAATTCTAAGGCCAAATAGGGCACTGCCACCTCACATTAGTTTTGTGTGCAGGAATAACTCTGAAAGTACCGTTGTTCTTGCATTGCAGGATGGCCACAACACTAGGAATGAGTTGTTTGAAGTTTTTCTTCAGATTCAGATTGTCAAAAAAATTGACCTTATTGATTTATTATATTCACTTGTGAAGAAATAAAGATCATGGTTGTTTTCCTCATGATTCAATGTATTTTCTTAGAGAGAAATGCTAAATTTTTTGCAGTTCCTACACAACTTTAAATGACTTAAGGGGAAGGATTGTATCTCTTCCTACACAACTTTAAACCTTATAGTATTTATTTGTGTAGTGAGAAACTTGTGCGTAATTCTCCCTTGTGACTTTCCTAGTGTCATTTTCCCCCCTATTGTTTTCCTTCCCGCTTCTTTTGAGGTTTCTATCTTTTAGGAAGCTGTCTTATCCCACTCTCCAGTAACACATTTTCTATTTAAAAACCTTCCCCCCTCAATTTCAAAAGACATAGGTTCCTCGAATATTTGGAGAAAGTACCAGACCCTTCAAATTACAAATATAATATTGGACTCCCATGTTCATCTTATAAAGAACCAGACTTTGTAATAAGTAATAACAAATCCAGAAGTTTTTTTGGCCATTAACAGGTCCAGATTAAACTCCGCCTATGTTTATAGCCGGTCCCAAGCCCGGGTAAAGGAGGAGGGTTGTGTTAGGCCATCAACAGCCAATGTAAAACTTTGTTGAATCTATCATGAACATGGACAATAGACGTTATAATGTTAATGCTAGGTCGTTGCCCGTAAGTAACGCGCTGCATGGCTCGAGTACAGTGATAAGTGAGTTAGAGCCGCTGCATCGGCGCCCGGATGTAGTGTTAAATGAGCAAGTGCTACTGCGTCATTCTGGACGCACGCGGCTAAAGAAGTTAGTCCATAAGAGCAAAATTAGATTTGGTACTTGGAATGTTGGGACATTAAATTGTAAATCTTTAGAGGTTGTAGGGGTTATGATTCAAAGGAAAATCAATATCCTTTGCCTGCAAGAAACAAAATGGCGTGGAGAAGAAGCTAAGGATATTCAAGGTTTCAAACTTTGGTATACAGGAAAAGTAAGTGCACGCAATGGAGTAGGCATCATTATAGATAAGGAGTGGAAGAAGAACGTTGTAGAAGTTAGCAGAATCGGAGACAGAATTATTTCCTTAAAAATGATAATTGGACGTGAGACTGTTAATATTGTTAGCGCTTATGCGCCGCAAGTCGGGACAGAAGCCAGTCTTAAGGAATTATTTTGGGAGGATCTAGAGGGGTTGATTCGACATATACCACAGAGTGAAAAATTTTTATTGGAGGAGACTTTAATGGGCATGTTGGGAGGGAAGCTGGTCAGTATGCGAGGGTGCATGGTGGTTTTGGTTTTGGAGAGCTAAACAATGAAGGACAAACTCTTCTTGATTTCTCATTGGCGTATGATTTTAAGATTGCCAACACTTGTTTCAAGAAGAGAGATGAGCATCTCATCACTTACAAAAGTGGAGCCTCAAGGTCACAGATTGATTTTCTTTTGGTTAGGAACACAGATAGAAGACTTTGTAAAAATTGTAAGGTGATCCCCGGAGATGCTGTTACGACACAACATAGGGTCCTAGTCCTTGATGTGTGTATTATGAGTAAAATCCAAAAACGTCGACAAGTAGTAACACCAAGGATTAGGTGGTGGCAATTAAAAGGTGAGAAGCAAGATATTTTCAAGCGAAATCTTTTGAATAAAGGAATTTGGGAATCTCAGGGAAGCGCTAACATCATATGGGAGGATATGGCTAAAAAGATACGGGAGGTTGCAAAAGTAGTTTTGGGAGAATCGAAAGGTTCTGGTCCGAGAGATAAGGAGTCTTGGTGGTGGAATAATAGTGTACAGGACAAAATCAAGTATAAGAAGAACTGTTTTAAAGCCATACATTTGTGTAACAATGAGGAAAATTGGGAGAGGTACCGTATGGCTAAGAAGGAAACTAAGAGAGCTGTGGGTGAAGCTCGTTCTAAAGCTTTTGACGAATTTTATAAGAACCTTGAGACCAAGGAAGGAGAGCAAAATATTTATAAGATTGCCAAGAGTAGGGAAAGAAAATCAAGAGATCTAGAACAGGTAAGGTGTATTAAGGATGAAGAGGGAAGAATTTTAGTTACAGATGATGAAATTAAAAATAGATGGGAGACTTACTTTTCTAAACTTTTCAATGATGGAGAGGATTCATCTAGTAACTTGGAGGATTTAGTAACTGGTGAAGGAGAACAAAATTTGTCATTCTATCGAATAATACGTGATAAGGAGGTAAAGGAAGCTCTTAAAAAAATGGCAAATGGTAGAGCCAACGGACCTGATTGTATACCTATCGAAGCGTGGAAATGTTTAAGTGAAGAAGGGGTGAGATGGTTAACTAAGTTATTTAATGTGATTTTACGGTCCAAGAAAATGCCTGATGAGTGGAGGAGAAGTACATTAATTCCTATTTATAAAAATAAAGGAGATATTCAGCATTGTACTAACTATAGAGGGATTAAACTCATGAGCCACACAATGAAATTGTGGGAGAAAGTAATTGAGCACAGGTTGAGATTGGAGACAAGTATTTCTGAGAATCAGTTTGGTTTTATGCCAGGTAGATCAACTACAGAGGCGATTTATCTACTAAGGGGATTAATGGAAAAGTATCGTTGTAAAGATAAAGATCTACACATGGTTTTTATTGATTTGGAAAAAGCTTATGACCGTATACCAAGAGAAGTGCTTTGGAAAGCGTTGGAAAAAAAGGAGTACGGATTGCTTATATTAAAGCCATACAAGATATGTATGAGGGGGTAAAAACTAGTATAAGAACACCTAGTGGTCAAACAAAGGATTTTCCTATAAAGATTGGACTACATCAGGGATCATCTCTGAGTCCTTATTTGTTCAACTTGATTTTAAATGTTTTGACGGAACATATTCAAGAGGAAATCCCGAAATGTATGCTCTTCGCGGATGATATAGTTCTTATAGCAGAGACAAGAGAAGAGGTTAATTGTAAACTTGAGTTATGGAGGAGGACATTGGAATCGAAAGGTTTTCGTCTGAGTAGAAGTAAGACGGAATATTTATATTGTAAATTTGGTAAAGGAATATTTGACAATAATTTGGAAGTGAAATTGGGAGATCAAATTATACCTCAAGTGGAAAAGTTTAGATATTTGGGAGCCATTATTCAAAATGATGGCGAAATCAGTGGAGATATTTCACATAGAATTCAAGCTGGGTGGTTTAATTGGAGAAAAGCTAAAGGAGTTATTTGTGACCGTAAGGTGCCTAATAAACTTAAAGGAAAGTTTTATCGCACTGTTATCAGACCGGCAATGTTATATAGTAGTGAATGCTGGGCTCTAACGGGACAGCAAGAGCATAAAGTTGGAGTAGCAGAGATGAGAATGTTACGATGGATGTGCGGACATACACGTAAAGATAAAATTCGAAATGAGCACGTACGTGAAAAAGTGAGGGTGGCACCTATTGAAGAAAAAATGGTAGAAAATCGGTTGAGATGGTTTGGGCATGTACAAAGAAGACCAAGGGAGGCACCAGTGAGAAGAGTGGAACATATAATTTTGAGTCCGATTAAGAGAGGTAGAGGAAGGCCTAAGAGAACACTCTTGGAAGTTGTTGAACGCGATCTCTTAATTAATAATATTCCTAAAAGTTTGATAAATGATAGAGCACAATGGCGTCTTGCAATCCATGTAGCCGACCCCACCTAGTGGGATAAAGGCTTGTTGTTGTTGTTGTTGTAACAGGTCCAGATTAGAACCACACTCAATCTATCAGAAAATATAATTACCTCTTATTCGACTTTCCCTATACTACAAGAAATAGTATGCATGTAACCACATCAAATGCAGAAGAGAATGATGTTAGGATACAATATGGAAATGTTACTTTACCAGCAACAACTCCACGAACTCTGAGCTCTTTTGATAGCTTCTCAACAAATTGACGAGGACTGAGATGTCTCACCCTTGAAAACTCAACCTGGTACTCTTTTGGGACCATGTTACAACAATAAGGAGCCCAAGAAGACAGCACTCGCTTCCGGTCGCACTTGGCAACTACAGGAGCCCTGTTTAGGAAGTAATTAAAAAGATGGCCTATATTGTCTCTTTTCCCAATTACAACACATTCATTCATTACTCTAAAATCTGAAAGCCTACCATAACCAATGAGAAAAAAGGAAACTGCTCTTTAGCAGGGAGGACATTGCCCAAAAGATATTCATCGGAACTCAAAACATCTATAACCCAAATTATATATCTTTAATACATACCTATTGTCACAAGTTTCTCTAAATGAATACAAAAATGCCATTGCAATTGCATTGTTACTCAGACAGTGTGAAAGTTATTGCCAAGGCAGCTCTAGATAAGGGTTTGCAATGCTAATTAGAGGAAATAGATATTTTGCCGTTTGCACCATAACCAATTTGATAAAATCATCCAAATATCTATCAATTCAGTCTCCAATGCTGGAAGATAACTTCATTCCAAGAAATAAAACAAAGTTATTTTATCCTTTATACAATATGAAAAGATCAGGAACCAAACTTGTTCAACTAGTACCCAGTTATGGACCACAACGGCAGCTTCATCTGCATTTAAGTTAAAATATAAAAAACTCCCTTGAAGTTTGCATCATCTGTACAGAATCCCTTTCATCTTCAAAACTTGAGAATAAACTCCCTTAAAAGTTTCGTTTGTGTGCATATAAACACCCTTCTGTTAATCACTCTATTAAATGATAAACAGAAAAGTGCCATATATGACATAATCAAATCATGTCGAATCTAACATGGAAATATGAACATTTTTATATCTACAAAGAGTCCATGAAACCCAGGGGGGCAGGTTCCCCCAAAGCACACTATATTAGCATCTGAATGTCTTCATCAACAAAATAAAGGTGACTCTTCCGTTCTCCAATTTTGGCACTCTGATCCATCTGGACCTTTACCCTCCATTCAATAATTTTGTCTCTTCCTTCTCCAATCCATCACTTTCTTGCTCCCAATTTACAAATTCTTCTCAACTTCCTTCACCAAGGCATCAGTTTGATTCTAGATGACCCTTGGAGTTTAGCTGAGTAGCAATTTCAGCATAAAGGGAAAGAAGAAACATGAAAAGAGGAAGTGAGGTCAAAATTCTGTAGGTATGCATGCCTCTACAGGTAAACAAAAGCCAGTAAAATCTATTACAATAGGAACTAAAGGGTTCACTTCTATGATTAAAACAGCTGTTCTAAACTTGCAAGCAATATCACCAAGAATTTCTTATACAAATCAGTCTGGTAACACACTTTTTGGATATCTACCTGAAAGTTTCATTAATAGAAGGAAAGAGAGAAGAAATCGTAAACAGGAAAGCATGAAAGTGATGAAGTAGAGAAGAAAGATACAAAGTTATTGCATAGAGGGTGAAGGTCCAGATGGATTAAAGGGGCAAAAATGGAGAACTAAAGAGTCATCTCTGTTATGACAATGAAGACATTTTGATGCTAATGAAGTTCATTTTAGTAAAACCCTTTCTTTCTTTCTTTGTTTTTTTTTTTTAATGGACTCTTAGGTGACTTGAATAAATATTAAAAAAATTGTTTATATTCCCATGGTAGATGCCACAAGGTTTTTATCATGTCTGAAGTGGCACTTATCTGTTAATGATTCAACGAAGTTATTAACAGAATGGTGATATGTGCATACCAAATGAAAGTTCAAGGGAGTTCATCAAGATTTCATGGTCAAGGGAATCATGTGCAGATGATTTCAAGCTGAGCGGAGTTCTTTATATTTTAGCCGAGTTTATACTATTTCCACTAATCATTCAAAATACAGTAGTGGTGGTTGAGAACATTCTCAAGAATTAGATATTTGTTAGTCCACATACAAGAAAGATTTTGGAATGCTAGTATTAGCTAGGTAACATGTAAACATTCGCCCACTTCCAAACAGACAGAGAACAATGGCTAACTAGATATTTGATCTAGTCCATGTAGAAAAATTTTCTTGTTCTCAATTGTAAAGTTATAACTACCAATTGAAAGTGTAAGATTGTGCAACTGGAACAACCAAGCATATTTCAAGTTGTATAAACTGATAAAAGAAACCTTTAAACGGATTTAACAGAATATTGTACTGGATCATACCTTTGTTCCCAGCCAAGTACTTCAGCCATTCCAGCAAATGATAAAAGAAATGGAGGCCCAGCCCTTGATGCTTGAATGGCAAGCTCTCGATGACCAATGTGCAATGCATCAAACTTTCCCAATGCTACAACTCCTCCTGGAAATGATCATGATAGGTTCATATAAATGTTATTGAGATATTGAGATAGTGTTATATAAAACATATATAAAACATGTAGCCAATAGTAAAAATTTGCATGTAATGGATGAACAAGGGGGGGAATGGAGGGGTTGGAGGAAGGAAACCACATTTGCATATAATTGTAACTTAAGATTCCAACTATTCTCAAAAGAGTAATGTAGCGTTCCCAAATCTGGTACAACTCAAAGCACTTGCTTAATTGACAGCTACAATTGGCTAGAATATTTTATTGGAACAAAATAGTCACAAGCATGAGTGATATGTTTTATGCAATTAACTCTTACAATTTTCAGTCCTAGAGAGTAATAATAAAAAAATGTATTAGCTGAGCTGAGGACCCAACTACAAGGGCCATTTTAGTATATCCTAGTCCTTTGACCAACTTTAAAAGTACAGAGAATGTTCAAGCAAGTTGATAAGCAGTAGCACAAACCATTAAAGCAATAATAAGCTGCTGACCCACCCTCACATCCCTTCATTTTTGAATTAAAAGCCAGCAAGTAATACAAAAATGAAAAACTAAAAACAAGGCTAGGTGATGTAACGCACACTCACACTTGCTCAAATTCAAAGAGAGGGAGAGACTAGGGAGAAAAACTGAAACTGAAATGGAGAGAGAAGAGAATGGAGAACAGAACAGTAGAGGAAGCAAGAGAGAGGGAGAGGAGATAACACAAAAGCAACTTATTTCGTTCTAGAATAATATTGCTCATATTTTCTGTCACTAGGTCAATTTGTTTTAGCTAACAAGTGAATAGGCACAACAGTACGCATGCGTTGGCTTAAACTCAGAATAAAAAGGTTCAACAGAACCATCTATTATTGCTAAACCATCATTACAGAATCTAACCAACAAAAGCAGTATAAATTATTTATTCTACATTTGATTTCCCTATTTCAATACAGATCGCTAACGTTATCAAAGAAAACAATTCCCTAAAATGTAGGTAATTCTGATAATTTCGAAAATTATCATGATATAAATCATTATACTTAAACAAAAGCAGTGATGGTATCAAATTATTTCCACAATAGTACAATGCTTAATGGTGAGTAGCTAGAAAGAATCACTGCTAATTATTGGTAATCTGAAGGCCAAAACAGAGCAGACATCAAGGCCAAAACAGCAATATAAGAGATTGACAGAAGTAGAAACACAGAAGTGATTAAAGAAAAGAAAGCACATAAAACTCCCAAGCTTTAAAGAGACCAGGATCTGTCCTGCATTCCCTGTCGATTTCTCCTTAACAAACCTTCAAAAAGAATATATTTTTTCTTTAAAAAAGAGAGAGAGAGAGAGAGAAAGAAACAAAACTATGGCAGATGGCTAGCTAATCCCTGACTGCCTTCCCTTTGACACTTTAAAAATGTGTCATGACACAATTTATTAATTCACTTCCCACAGACCTCTTTCACTTCATCTTTTCATTCTTCCAACAACTGATTTTAGGCATAGGCCCATTACAGTCATAACATCACCATATGCTTGTAAGAATTCCTATAACCAGGGTAGGCCCTGTGCATTTACAGTGTCCAAGATAAACTACATTGTTCACAACTTATAAATAGTATGGCTTCCCACAGCTTTCATAGATATATTGATGATATTGATATTGATTAAAGCCCAAACACAACAATCAGTTTTCTTCTTTCAAGGACAAGATAAACATTAGAAATTTCTTGCTAAATGGGAGATTTACCAACTACGCCCAACTAAAAGAAGCATGCAATAAATTGCAATCTTCTGCCATCCTACATGGAGTACTGGCTATGAAAATTTCAAGGTTCAATGCTTCAAAGAGGCAACAAAGTGCTTTGGAAATTTCCCTTGAGTTTCTTGTTCGGCTCATGACATCATGAGTAATTGTTTCATCAAATGGATAATCCTAGCCACATTAAGAAAAGTGGTTTCCTAACAAGGAATAGATAAACTTCTGACATTCGCAAGAAGAGTAAGACAATCAGATGCTAAAAAAATTGAGCATACAAGCAAGCTTGCAAGCATGTAACTAAGGATTCTGCATGTCTTTCTTTAGACCCCTACATCACTTATGTAGCCAAAGGGGCCAGTAAGTGAAAAGCCTAAGGATTTACAAGATGTAAAGGAACAGACACTAAACTAAAAGATACAAAAAGTCCACAGGGATGCTTTCTGGCAAGAAATGATTACTGCAAGCCAAACCCCAACAAACCAATAAACTTCATCATCAAACATAACTCTTCTGTCCAGAAGATATGGTGGAAAATTAAGGAATAAAAAAATAGTTATCTATAAGGTCGTACATGTGGGGGAGAAATGGCAAAAGAAGAATACAGTGAAAGTGACTAAAAACCTGCTATTGGTGATAATCCATCGGAGATAACTTCTTGATCATCCTCTCTTTGGCTTTGCCCAAAAAAAAAAAGGGAATCAGAATCTTGATTAAAAAAGAAGAAAAGGAAAGGGTAACATGCAATAAAAAATTAAAAGGGGGGAAATCAGGGAACATGTAAATTGATTACTTGATCAGTAATCAGAGCTCCTGCCCAGCAGTTTAAACCTCAAATATGAACAACTAAATGTGTAAAAGCTTACGATAAATCACCTCTTTCAAATTCACACAAACAATGTGAGGGCTCTGAACTACTGGGATACAAGAACAGTCTCCACTGAAGATAGATAGCAGGTGAATAATTGGAATTTGTAACTCTATCATACATAATTGGAGTCCAAGAGTATTTCTTCCTGATTATTTGCATCAACATTACTTTTCCTTCATCAGAAAAGGGTGTGCTGATCACCCGGCAAATTTGAAACAAGAAAATAATGATAGTACCAAGAAAAGTTTAAAAAGTATTGCTGTGCGAATGCTGCCCGAATGTATCAGAAAACTATGTCATTAGCTGTCTTTTCAGAGGGATCAGCGCAAAACAATTTGATTAAAAAAAAAGTTGAAGTTCCTGTGAAGTGCTTAATCAGTTAATCTAAGAGCAACAAGTAACCACCATTAATGATTTGTGTAAGAACTCTCCTTCAAATTCCCAAAACACCTCATTCTCCATGTCTTACTTCTTTCAGTTCAAAGACTCTGCTGCATATGTATTCTGAAATTTATTCCACTACTTTTCCCTCTGAACTTCCACCCTCTTTTACTAAGTACAACCTTAATTGGAAAGCAAGATCCACACAAGGAATTAACAGCCCCGTTATGAAACACCCTTCTCAGGAGACAGCTGGACAAAGAGAGAGTGAAGGGCCTTCATTAATGGTGTCCAGAAAGTTATAAACCTGACCGTAGGTAAACAGTCTCTGCTGTGATTAGCTGCATTTGGTTTGAAAGGAATGCTAGAGATTGTAATAATGCATTGCCGACTCTAAATACCTTATAGTAAAGGCTGTGCTTACATCTCTTGATTCCCTTCACTGTTTTGTTTGAATCACTTTGAATGAAACTAGGGATTAAAGGGCTTTGATATTTTTAAAGTTTGTTTTTTTTCTTTCCTTTTCTGGGTTTTCTTTATAGAAGGTTGTCCTATCCTCCTCTCTTGTAATTCTCTTCATATCTAATGAAGCCTATTTCTCTGTCAAAAAAGAACTGGGCAACCAGAGATTGATGAACTGATGATCAGGGAAGTTGGTTCTGGATCAATGCCTACCCATGAGTTTCATTCTGCTAACGTTAAGTGAAAAAGTAACAACCCTCTCAAAATTTTTGTTCATTAAAAGTACTCTGCTCTCGATGATGCTACGTAGAAGTCTCTGCGGCAGCTATATCAGAATTATTCATCTCAAATCTTTGAAAGTAAGGGCTGTTTTGGAATGCGTCGGAGTTAATAAGTAGATAAGTTAGTTAAGCAGTTGAGTGAATTGCTTAGACCGTTATTCAGACACGGATTACAAAAGAGTGAATCTGATTATAAGCAGTCATGAGTTGCCTGGGAACTTTATTCACATGTACCAGGTTCCAACCAAATTTCAAAAAATTAAAAACGACTGTTTTTTTAACAACAGACAAACTTCACAAAAGAGCATAACCCACGGAAAAAAAAAATTGATCATAGGGAAGAAAGAACCTGAAACAATCAAAAGACTCGGATGGAATGCTGGAATACAAGATGATGACGATGACGACGAAGATGAAGACAGTCTGATTTGCTTTTCAAGACATGGCAGAGAAGAATTCAGAGGCGATGGGAAGGAAAGCTGTACAATTTGGGAACTGTAGTAACGAAATCTGCAGCTCAAGTGGAAACGGAGGTCGCATTCTCGGAGATGATGTGAAATTCGAGAGCCACCACCAAGCAACATTGGAGGCTCTCTGCTTCACTCAACTTCCGTTGCATCCGAAAACTGCGCTTCCCTTCTCAATTTGCTTCTTCCTTGAAATGGCGTCGTTTTAACGAAAATAACCCTCGGCCGTAAATCTCGGACGCAATCATAGCCGTCCACTCAATTTGACCTGAAAACCAACCCTTCCTAGCTTTGAATGCTAAAGAAGTCAATATCGATTATATTTACCTCTAATATCCAAGTGCTGCTGCATTGTAAGATTAATGTTTTATCTAACAATAACTCTTATTTGCTATTGTTTTGGTGACCCAAATCCTTAAAATTGTGACCATATTTGAAATTCAATTATTTACTTACTTGACAATGTTAACTCTTATCTTTCAGGTCACAAGTATGATGACAATGGATAAAATTAATTGGATATCAATAAAACATTTTAGGCATCGCATCAATTCCTTCAACCTTGAATTAAATTTCTATGTGATAGATTTTCTAAACTTTTTAATGATGATGAGAGTTTGTCAGTTAATTTGAGAGATTTAATAACTCTTAAAAGAAAGCAAAATTTTTCATTTTATTGAAGAATATGAGCTGCGACAGTAAGGGAAGATCTTAAAAAAAATGGCAAATCATAAAACCAATGGACCTAATTGTATCCCTATTGAAATGTGAAATATTTGGGTGAAGAATGAGTACAGTGATTAACTAAGTTATTTAATAAAATCTACAATTCAAGAGAATTTCTAATAATTGGAAGAGAAGCACCTTAATTCTTATTTACAAAAATAAAGGAGATTTTATAATTGTATTAACTACAAAGAGATTAAACTTATGAGTCATGCTATGAAAATATAGGAACGAGTGATTGAACATAAAATGAGATTGAAAACTAATATTTTTAAGAATTAGTTTGGCTTCATGCCAGGTAGGGTGACTACAAAAGTGATTTATCTATTAAAGGAATTAATAAAAAGTATCGATGTAAAGGTAAATATTTACATATGATTTTTATTAATTTAGAAAAGCTTATGATTATCTACTAGAGAGAAGTACTTTGAAAGCATTGGAAAAGAAGAGTATTCAGGTTGCCTATATTCGAGCCATACAAGACATGTATGAGGGGCCAACAACTAGTATAAGAACTAGTGGTGAAATAAAAGACTTTCCTATAAAGATTAAGCTGCATTAAGGATCATCTTTGAGTCCTTATTTATTTGATCTAGTCTTAAATGTTGACTGAGTATATTCAAAGGAAAGCCTTAAATGCATGCTTTTTGCAGATGATATAATTCTTATTGCGGAGACAGAGAAAAGATTGATTGTAAACTTAAGTTATGGAGAAAGACATTGGAGTCAAAAAATTTCCACCTGAGTAGAAGTAAAATAGAATATCTACATTGTAATTTTGACAAAGGGTCAATGAGTAGTAACTTAGAAGTAAATTGGATAATTAGATCATACCTCAAGTAAAAAAGTTTAGATATCTAGGAGCGATTATTCAATATAATGAGAAAATTGATGGAAATATTGTACATAAGATACAAGCTAGGTAGTTTATTAAAAAGAAATGCTAAAGAAGTTATTTGCGCTCATAAGGTACCTAATAAATTTAAAGGGAAGTTTTATCAAACTGTTATAAAACACACTAATATTATATATGGTAGTGAATGTTAGGCTTTGATAGGACAACAAGATCATACATTAGAGTAGCAAAAATGAGAATATTGAGATGGATGTATGGATATACACATAAAGACAAAAATTCAAAATGATCGAATATGAAAAAAAGTGAGTGTTGCATTTATTGAAGAAAAAATGGCAAAAAATCGTTTGAAGTGACATGTACAAAAAGACAACATAAGACACCTGTGAGGAAAGTGAAAAAGATGACTTTAAATTCTTATTAAAAAGGATAGAGCAAAACTAAAGAGAATATTTTTTAAAAATTGTTGAGCGAGACCTTTTAATAAAAAATATTTCTAAAAGTTTTTAATAATGACAAAGTATAATAACATCATATAATCTATATAGCTGGCTCCATATAATGAAATAAGAATTATATTATTGTTGTAGATTTACCTTGAAGAAAAGCAATATTTTTTTTTAAAAAAAATTGATTGGATTTTCTGTAACTCGGAGTGAAGAGTTACGTTTCATCAAATTAGTACTTACCATCTGCTTAAATGTAGTTTCTGATCATCATCTTGTTTAATTTCAAACTTGATTACAAGAATTATCAAAAGCACCATAAAAACCCCTTTAAACGTTATGCCCACTTAAATGCTTGAGGAATCGTTCCAATTATTGGTCAAAGAATCGTTCATGATAATGATTGGAACGAGGGAGTGAAAATTTTCTAATTACACTTTCCTTTGGAGCAAGAAAAATCTTGATAGCATATCTTTCAAAAAGAAAGAATTTTGCAAAGACTGGAAGGAATTGACAAAACATAAAAATAATAAAGATAATTACTTTCAAAAAAATTGGAAAAACTTAACAAGAAATCTTAACAAACATATTAAAATTTTACTATTTTATGAAGAGGTCTAGAAGCTTCCCCTTTGCACCCTTACTTTATCTTTTCTAACCACCTGGAGAAGTAGACTAAAA